ACAAAAATAGGTAAAGATTCTTCAAAGAAATAGGTGTCCACTCAAGCTTTCCTGTTTGGTGAAATATTTTCTCCACTTTGGGGGTGGTTTCTCATGGATTTCGTGCATCCAATGAAGGCTTGGGGCGTGCCAGACATTGCAGCCCCGTATTTGGGGCTGACAGTAGCAAAAAACATAAATTTGTGAACTTTAAAATGTTATTTTGTCTTTTCTTGGTTTCAATTAGGGGTTTGTTTGGTATTTTGAGATTTTTAAGCCTATTAGAATCAAGTCCACTGGTCCAAGTGTTCTAATGGGTCAAGAATGGGTTTGACATCAGCCATCACCCTTTTGAGGCTTCAGGTTGGGATAGATGATGTGGCAATTTAATCTAGTGCGTCGAAATAACATCTTTATAATTTAATGGTCAAATGGGTGAATTAGGATGTAAAATTTGACATGCTAGAGTTTTTTGGGTATCTAAACAAAGTGGTGATGTCTGATTGATCAAATAGGCTCGAGATGATTGAGATCTAAGGCTGACAAGTTCAGATCAATGAGATTTGTTGAAATAGAATCTTTATTTGATGAATGGTCAAACAGAAGAATTTTGGTATGAGATTTGGTGGGTTGGCACTTCTGGACGTCCTGAATCTAATGGAAACTATGGATCTTTGATTAGAAGTCTGGATTAATAGATTTAATTTAGATCATGGTCTTAGCTTATGGTTTTCCAATCAAGGAGAGGGCCTGAAATGGAATCTTACTTTTTTGATGATCAAATGTGGGTATTTGGTTATAAAATTTGACGATGTGGGTTTTTTGGGTCTTTGAATACTGTGGTAAGGTTTGATTGGTCAAATAAGGCTTGGATGAAGGAGATTTGTGACAGGTGAATTTTTTATCAATAAGATTCACCAATACAGAATCAAGGCTTGATTTTAGGTCAAACAAGTGAATTTTGAGCTACAATTTGGTAGGTAGTCATGGATTAGGGTGAGGAGTTAAGTGGATGGTTCCAATATGATAAAGATATGGTCAACCTTGGTAATCATTCAGGGCCATCAGAATGTGATCTTGATGTTTTTGTAGTTGGTTGTCATAAATTTGTGTTGGGATTCACTTAGTTGATTGTTTCATAAATTGAGGTGATGGATATGTTGGATTTGATTTTGAGGAGTTGGAGTTTGAATATCGCATAGATCGGGGCATGACGAACAGTGGATCTTTGGAGTTTAGTCATGAAAATTGATGTGTAACTTAGTTGTAGTTTTCCAAGTCTAGGGATGATGTCTGATCAAGGTTCTTGCTTGTCCTATGGGTTGTGTCAAAGGAGGGTATTTTCGGGTTTTGGAAAGTTTCAAATTGATCTGGTTGTGTTTCTAAGTTTTTGGTGTCTAAGAGGGGGGTACAAAGAGGTAGGGTGAAGGGACCGAGCAAAAATTGGGTGCTAACATTTGGACAAGTCATAAATCTAGAAAATATACAATAAAGGAGGGACACCAAAAGAAACAATTAACTCCCCTTCCAAATATTTTCTCTGATCTTATGTTTTGTTTATCTAAAATCTAGAAACTTACTATTCCCTTGCGTTATCAATTATTTTTTTGGAGAGTGATTAATGAGTTTATTCTAGTAAAGGATATACTCTATGGAAATTTCAGATAAGTTCTGTGTTCTTTGTAATGGGGAAGAGGAATCTCTAACTCATCTCTTTGTCCATTATTAATTTTCTTAGATGATTCTGCTTGGAAATCCTTGGAACTTACGTTTGCATAACATTTTTCAAGGATCCTGGATTTCATGAATAAACAATTTATATAATCAAATTTCTGATAATCAACTATTTATGAGAATCTTAGGGTGGATAGCTATTGCTTGTTATTATATATGGCATGCTCGAAATGAGAAATGCTTCAGAAATAGGTAACTTTTACCACAAAAAATTACTGTTATTATCAATCAAACGTTTCAACAATCTATGGATATATGGCATGGACCTACATCAGCTTGTTAGACAGTTTTGTATGCCCTTAGCTCCAATAAGTTTTGATGTACTTTTGACATTTAGTGTAAATAAATAAAGTACATGTTTGATTCATGTTGTGTGGTATACTTTTGTGTAAGACCCTTAAACTGGACACTTAATGAGACTCGTGTTAGTTTAGAACATTCACAGCCATTGGATAAGTCTGGGGAGATTTATCCTGCCAAGGCTAACACTGGTGTGCTGCCAAGTGTTGGGTGGCTTGTCTCAGTCGCCAGGGTGAGACCCAAGGCACATGTAGTGTAGGATTACTTGAATCCTTGAACCGGATCAAATTTCTAGTATTGCCCGGGACCTTGGAGATTGATGGGCAAAATTAGAAAATTACACCTGACCCCTAGACTCGATTATGATACTGCACTAGATGTCAGATTGGGCTATCTTTGATATGCCAATCAGTGAGATCCTTAGCGAGGGTCAAAACTTGGGTATATTGGGACAGCCTGAGAATTCATCTAAGTAGATGATCATAGTGACAGGATCAGCCCCTTTGTCGGACAAAGGTAATGATCGAGGATGCATCTCTCTGATGTAAACCAAACTGCCGGCAGTTGATTTCAATCGTTGGAATTTTGTTTTGCAAAATTTATATCTATGATATATAGATATGTATGGTTTCAAAGTGTTTGCAAATGGTTTTAAATCCTGGGATCCATGTGAGCAGAATGCAGCACTGTTCCTTCAGCCGAGGGAGAGGTCCTCTCTTGTCAGGCAGTGCTTGATCATTATGGGCTGAGAGGTTAAGTGTAAGGTCATTTAGGATAATACCTGATGGGCTAATCTTGCATCTGCCCACAGTCCTTGGGTTTTTATAAGATGGCTTGGCCCAGGGGTTCACTAGACTTTCTAGTGAATTCGATTAGGCCTTGTAACAAAGGCTGGGCCGAACCCATGTGGCTGATGTGGAGATCAATGCTTGGGTCCCACGCCATACAAAGAAGCCCAACTGGGCAGTAGTTTGGAAACTTATTGAGCACTAATTACTTATTGGGCCTAAAAGCTCATTTCGAACTGAGCTGATATGATCACCCACTTAAGGGGGCGAATCTGCAGATAGGATTAACCTCCTGATGAGATCAGGAATGGGCTGATCTAATCTGCAGATTGGATTAAGATTATCCCCTATCCAAATACAGATTTGGATTGGGATAACTCTTAATGGGATTAGGAGGTTTCTTAATCACTAAGAAAAGAGGAAACCCTAACAGAGAATTACAAGAATTCGACCTAGGGTTTTGCAGTTACACTCTCTGCAATCTGAGATAGGATCTCACCTCCCTAAGCTGAAAACTGCATTCACGCCTCTTTCAGCCTTAGGGATCTCCTCTAGCCACCGCCACCTTGATGCATAGTTCGAACTCCATTGAAGGGAAAATCAAGAAATCTGTTCTTGATATCAGTCTTTGTTGAAAGGCTGATTTGGTTTGGTGCTCTAAGCCTCCAACGAGTTCTTGGGAAGAGTTCGGTACGTGAGACGTACACTGTTGTTTCTGCCCCACCATCGTTGTGTCATCTTCAGCGGGAGCAGATCTTGGATCTTTCTTTGGGCGTGAATATCGACGTTGGGAGATTTTGATTCTCCATATCAGGTATAACCCTTCCCCTAATCTTTGGTTCAGATCTGGTCTGGTTTGGTTCGAGTAGATCCTTGAATATTTGATTCTAAAATAAGGGAATGCGATTCCCAGTTGGAAGAAAGGAAATTTTTTAAAATTCGCCCACCCATTCCGCAACCTTTTTGGCATCCATACAATGGATCCTACCATTCTTTCACAGCTAATATTTTCTTTGAGGGTCGTAGAATGCAACTATCCATGTCTAATGCTACTGAACTGATTATATTCACTGATGCAGGGAAAATTTCTGACTCCTTATTCAGTTTTGGTATTATTATGCTATCTAGAAATTTAACCTGCTTAAAGATTATTGGAGACCGAACTTCTCAACCCACCTTTATTGGCCAAGCTGAATTGTTTGTGATTATGCAGGCTATAATGGAGCTCCAAAATTGGAATTATGAAGAAATTTGCATATGTTCCGATGCTCAAAAAATAGTGCTAGCTTTAAAGAAGATTTGCTTTGAGATTGGGATCATTGCTCCCATCTCTACTGATTTACTAACAAAATATTTTGGGAAGTAGTTTTGGTTTTACACATGGGAGTTATTTGTTTTGATTTCCCCTTTTCTTATAAAAATGTCTCTGTATTTAGATTTCACCGTTGCTTCGACTTCTTGGTGTATATAATACTCAACTCTAGTTTCCTACTTCACTTAACTTGGTTTACATCTCTTCATTTTCTTGCCTTTAAATTTTAATCATCTTTTCATTTTGCTGTTGCGTTGTGTGGTGGATAAAGGTATCAAAGACGTCAAAGGAGACAGTGGCAACAATAAGCTAACTATGGTAGGGAAAATAGACCCATCGAAAATTCGAGAGCGAATAGAGTGGAAGACGAAGAAGAAGGTGGAACTCGTCTCCCCCATACCCAAGAAGGAAGACAAGAAACCAGAAGAAAGGCAATAAAGAAGAGAAGAAGGAAGACTACAAGAAGAAAAATACTAGAGCAATTGCAGAAGGGTAAAGGGTTGAAGGTCATGAACGACAATGGTGCCACATACAAAGACTTAAACACATAGAGGATCCTATTGGACAAATAGGGGCGATTCTGGTATTTTGAAATATTTTAATGACGCTTTGACGATCTAATCAATGACAATTTTGTAATTTTAATAGTTTTATGTCTGTGTCAATGATGGAAGGGAGACTTTTATCGAATTTCTTAAAAGTTCAGGGGTGGTTTATGTTAAAGTGAAATTACAGAGGAGAGGCTTTTATGATTGTCAAAAACTTCAGGGAGGCTTTTGTATTTTACCCAAAAAAAAATACATCACGTTCTAAACCTTGACAAGCTGGTTTAAGGTTGTTATACTAACTTCCCCGGCCCGAGCGGCCAACCCAAAATAATTAGAATTTTAGATGGGCTGAAATTGGGCTGGTTTTTCCAAGCCCGAGTTCCTCATGTGGATAAGATATAGGAGCTCTCTGTAAATTTCAAAACCCTAGAAACTCCTATTCAAAAACCCTATAGGACGATGAATCCATCAACTGATGCCGACGGCGACGATTACTCACCATCTGCCACTGTAATCACCTTTGATCATCCCATTCCTTTACTGAGAGGACCTATACCTGCTGGTKTATCAGATGATCCCTCTATTGGTCCTTTCGTTCTAGCTTTCAGAGACGCAAGGATCTGGAAATCGGCGCTTCAGGCCTGYGAGGCCAAAGTTATAGAGCAATGCGAGGTATTCTTACATCACTTGAATTTATGTCATCTTCTGTTGCAACGTGCAATGACCATGAACTTAAGGTTTAAAAGTTACGGTTCTGGGTAGCTCTGTTTGTTTAGGTATCGAAAGGCGTGACTAAGTGTACTTGTTTCTGGATRGTTGCTATATCTACAGCTCCGCGAAAATAAAGAGATGGGTTTAGATGTATTTTTGTTAGTGTTTTATAGCTTATTTATTAAGTCTTATCATTTATAATCGAAGCAGGGAGGACATTCATCCTGATTATACATATTCTGATTATATCYTGATTATAATTGTTTCCACAAGGAGAAGATGAGCAGATGAGTTAAGCTTGGAATATCCAGGGGAATTGGAGAATGAATAAGCAAACTTGAAAAAAAGTTGAAGTTTTCTGTGTAACAAATAAACTAAGGAGCCTCCTTATATCATCATTTTGGTCGCTTTGTTGAATATTTCTCTCTTCTTCTCTGATAAATTCTTTTACCATCTCTCATGTTTTCATGTTATGCATTGAGAAAGGAACTAGTGTGGTAACTGCTGTACATTCACTAACACTGCTTTGATTCTTAAACTCCTAGAAGAAGTGAAAAATGGATGCCTTAGTTGATAGGAGGATGCATTTTGCATTCTTACAGTCAAATGTACTTGTAGCCGTATAAGATATGCTTATTAATTKTGTTATTGAGAGAGGCTTTGAAGAATTTTTTTTTTGCAGCTGGCCGAGCTGGTTGGCTTTAGAATTGCCAAGCAGTAACTTACTCAGCTGCACAAACTAACATATGGCACAAAACCAGCTCTTGGCTGCAGGTGTTTTAGCAATTGGGATTGATGCTGCTGTACATTTTTTTTGATAGATTGCTGCTGTACATTTTCCCAAACCAATTTCATTATTAAAGCTAATATGCCTAAAACAGGCAGACAAATGGAAACCTTGATTTGGGAACTCAGAAGAGTTCGGTTAGAGCTCTTGTAAGTTGTATCTCATGTGGTATCTTCACGGCAAGAATGTAAATTAAGAGAAGACTTTATATTCTTGCATGGAATTTTTCAGACTTGTTATGCTCCTAATATTCTAAAAGAAAGAAGTGCAAGGGGCTCCTAGAGCCTAGGGGTGAGCATAATTCGGTTAAAACCGAAAAACCAAACCGAAACTTCGGTTTCGGTTCAATTAGTTCGGTTTAATTGGTTTTTGGTTTGGTTTTGGTTGTGAAAATTGGTTTCAATATATTTCAGCTTTAAAAACCGATTTATTTTTAAAGCTATATAATTTTTTTAATATTTTTGGTTGTTTCTAGTTTGATACCTTGATGCATGGAACACAAAATAATTACAGTCCTATCTGTTCGAACTCGGTTGCATGTAATACTTATTACTTTATTAGTGGAAAGTGGAAACTATAAAGCCAAATACTAGGAAACTTAAATTTCAATTCTCAAGAAGTTTAACTAAAGAGGGAGAACTAAAATAAAGTAAAAAAACCCTCTTCAGTCCTTCCTTTGTGAGCACATCTAACCCCCTTCATCTTCTTCTCTTCATCCAACTCCAACTCTTCAAGTCTCCAATGCTGTTGTCTATTTTAGAGTGCAGAGAGCCAGAGACTGGGACTGCAATCTTCCCAACCTACGTCTCATACTCTCATCTCATGATCTCACTCTCACCTTTCAAACTGGAGTGAGAACTCAGAAGA